TTGGGGGGTGGGAAGGGAACAAATCGTAAAGTCCCAAAAGGGTATACGAGAAGAAAAAATATAAAAACCTTAGCAAATTCGTTAGAAAATTCTTTTGGATTTCTGTTGAAATTTTTAATAGTTTTTGACCGATTCCATTGAGATGTTCAATAGAAAATATTCAATAGAATTTTCTATTGCCCGAATGACAAAAATTTTAATTAGTCGCATGCATAACTTTACTTATAAAATTCAAGCCGGGGAATTTTTATAAAAAATATCTCCTTGGAGTGATTTGTATAGAAAAATCTAATTCTGTTGTTTTTTTCCACAAAATTTTTTCATTTCAATAATTTTACTCGAATGCCTTCGTCCGAATCAATTGACGTCAATCAATCGTTCCAAAAGAAAGGAAGAATGCATCCAACTTCAGACTCTCGAACTTCAGACAATACCCGAGTCATCGAAACAATCCGATTGATATTGACATGTCTGAGGATATCGGAAATTTCACCGAAGATTTGGTGGAAGCGGCAATGTCGAATGCGATGGAACTGTCCGGAGTAACAGCAGCGCCAGGTACTCCCGTTAAAAACCGATCACCCGAAAATTTTCAAAAACTACATCTCTCGATTTTTTCGATGAAATAAATTAATAATGAACATGGAAAATTTCCCCATCAGGAAGGGGGAAATTGTGTAAGGGAGGGTGGGGTAACACGGATACTTTAGACTTTTTTAAATCACTCATAAATCAGAAAAAAATTTATCAATTAGGCTCAGTTTAGGCTCATCACAAAGGGACTATACATTACATGCCCGAGGCTTGGAAAACAGATCACCGTCCCCAACGTGCAAGATTGCCTTCCGAGCCGAAGATAAGGATGGCAAGCACGTGGGGAAAGGTGATAGGTTTTCCATGGCGAGTTGTGTATATTAATTTTCGTGTCGAGGTACCTGAAAAACTCCAGTGGGGTTTTTCATTTCCCGTGACACGAAAAGAATTTTTCTTTTCATTCAAAGAAAAATATTAAATTTCATCAACATTTCAACCTGTCATTAACATTTAAAAAAAGTCAAAAGTGTTAATTTTACCCCAACTTCCTGTATTTATTGTTCCGCCCTAGATGCCCCTTCCGCCGACGAGCCGGACCTCAAGCCCCTGTCGAACATTCTCCGCGAGGTGGCCCAACTAGCGAAGAGTCTTCAACAGGGTATGGAGAATGTCCAAATCGGCGACTACAAGGTGTCCCTAACCAACGCGTCCCCCCTCGAGATCCAGCTGAAGCGCGCCATCAGCAATCTCGAGATTTCCTCCATCGACAAGCCCCTGAAGATAATAATAAAGGGTGAGGGTGACTACGAAGTGCGAGAGGACACCCTGATCTCCCTGAATAAAGACCCAGGACCGAGTCAGTCGTCCTCTGACCCGAGCGTCCCGCCAATCTCCGCGGCCAGCGACACCAGCGCTCCGACGCCCCAAGAACCCAACCTCAACTCCAAGAAGATGACATTCGCCAGAAGACTCAGGAGACTCTTCCGAATTGGCCCCAAAAATCCGTAAATACGCGAAAAAATTATTGTGTGCCCAAAATTTTTGAGAAACAGACTACGATAAATAAACAACATCACGAGGAAATGGGAATACTCGTTTTCACTCTGTTGCTTGGCACCGTTGTACCCACTACCACTCTCTTATCTACTAAAAATACATTTTTCTTTCTGAATCGGGCTAGAGCCGGAATCGGTCTCGCGACTGATGCTATCTGAAATAGATTTACTACGTTCGGATGATTCCGGAGGAATACGATGCTGTTGCAATTGGACAATTGCGCAAAGAAAAAATTGATCGCGGTTGAAAAAAAATTCTTTCTGGATTCTGGAGAATAGTTTCTACTATTAAAAAAACTAATTTCATAGGGAAACTTAGCAAATTTGATAGAAAATTCTATGGAATTTCTATTGAACTCCTATGGAGACATTTTTTATGGGAAATTCCTTAAAAATTATTTATTTGAATGGATGAAGTTTTTTTAAATCTCTTTTTCTTCTCTTTTCATTGAAAAATCTAATAAAACCTTGGAAAATTTGAGACGAGGAATTTCTATAGAAAATGTCTGAAGAATAAGTAGAAAAATTCTAATTCTATTGATTTCGTTATATGAATCCCCAAAATTCTCAAAATGAATTTTCTAATTTTTTAAAATCTATTTTTCTTCTCTTTCCATTGAAGAATTCAAATTAAAAACTTGGCAAATTTGAGACGAGGAATTTCTGTAGAAAATATCTGAAGAATAAGTCGTAGAAAAATTCGAATTCTATTGTTTTCGTTATGTGAATATATTCCTTTGAATATTTGTATTAAAAAAAGCGTACAGATAAAATTTTTTTCACTAGAATCAGCCAATGACTAATGGAAATTTGTTTATTTCATTACAGTTTCATAGAAATCTAATGGAATTTTGTAGCGAATTCGTTTGATTGTTCTATAAACTCATTTTGTACGCGCATTTATTATTCTAGAATTCGGAAATCCATTTTCTAGCACCAGAAATAATTTCAAGCAGAAAAATTTCCAGAATTAATATTGATAGGCTGTAAAATTAAGAAGTGGAATATTCATGAAGCGAGAAAAGAAACTCATTTAGTTTTAATTAAGCTGAAAAAATAAGGGTCCCGAGGGTCAGCCCTGATTTTTACGAAATTATTCTTAATTTAATCCCAAAAAAAACAAATTTTCTGCAGGACTTGAAAGGATTTAAAAACCAAAATCGTCACGAGAATTTGAATGACATCTGCCAAAAAATTTCCCTCGAATTTCATAAGAAAAAAAAATTCTCGAGCAATTCTTAGAATAGTTCATTAATTAGAGTCAATTGTTATGAATTTGCCTATCCACCTCGCAACAAACCATGACTCAGTCCACTGAGGAAGTCGATGGTGTAGATCTGGCAACCCTGACACAAAAATAAAATCAACAGCAAAACCATTTATCGCAGTGGATGGAACGAGCAGAGCGAAGGTCCTCGGTCTGTTTTTGGAGCGCAGCGTTGCCGGCGAGTTGCAGCTCACTCAAAAGAACAGAATTGTATTTTTTCCCTCCCGTGTGTGCGTTTTTTTTTATTTTTCTATGACCCTCACTTCGTAATTCTCGGGTGTCTGTGCGACACTGGTGCCCTCTGTTGCGATAAAATGAATGTCCACGGCACCTGGTGCTCGCATTTCTGGTTCTAACTTCGTGCGGTGAACATCCAGAAGCCACAGACACACTATCAACAGCGATGGTGAGTATTCAAATTCAGTTAAAAATATTCACCCCTCTTCTACTTTTCCCAATTACACAGTAAATAATATTTTAGAAATAGTAATTTTTAATGTTCACAGAATGTAGATGTTGAATTCAAAGTGTTTCTGAGCTTAAAGATTTTTTATTTCAAGTTTTACGACTACTATTACCGTTTGTCTTCATAAAATTATTGAAAGTTGACGTACAGAATATTTTTATTCATTTTCCAGGCCGATCTTTCCCCCAGAGAAGTCGAGAGTGAGTAGAGCGTGGACTATTCCATCTTCTTGAAAAATATTAACACCCCACAATGGCGGGCGGAAGTGTCGCTTCACAATTCGTATTTCCGCGTTAAGAAAATATATCTAATGGAAAAAAAATCATTAGTGCGTGAGTGCAGCCTGCGAAATTTTTTTCACTAAATTGCGGTTTGCAAAAATCGATTGATTGAAGAAAAAGATAGAAGCCAAAATGTTGACGTTGAGACGTTTGAACTTTCTCATTACGCGGCGAGAAGAAAATTAGAATATTGAAAATGAATGTTTATCTTCCGAAAGCATAGGGGATTGCATAAGCATTTTGAAGCATCGGGAAAAATTCTAATTGTGAGGCGCGTCGTTCCGGTGTCAGAAATAGTATTAGCCACTGCTCTTATATGGGTACGAGAGTAAGTAGGGGTAATTTGACCCAGTGCACGCAACCCGGCAACGTGACGGTTGCGGAGTGGGGGGGTGGCAGTGGGAAAAGAGTATCAACTCCAAGAATAGAGAAGTGATATTTTCGAATCGTTCGTCGTGTGTGCGGGGGTATTTGAAAGAGAAAATACTGAAAATTGGGGGGAAAAGTGGCCTCGTTACGTCTTTACCTCCCACGTGATGAATTCCGAGGCTCGACACGGAGGATTTAGGATTTATTTACCTTTTTATGCGGTGGTTGAGGAGATATTTTCGGGCAAAAATGTGGCTCATGTCATGACTGATATTTCTAATGTCGCGAAATGAGACGTTTGCCGAATAAAAACGAGATGTTTGATTGATTAGAGATTTTTATGTTTTGGAATAGACGTCACCAAATTGGAGACATTTTTTCCGGCCTTATATCATGACATTTGAAAATTATTCACTCATTAGTCAGCTTGTTGTTAAATATGAGCGAACGTAAGAGGTACATATTCCAGAATCAAAACCTAAAATTGAGAAATATAAATAAGAATCAAAAGATACGTGCATTAAAAGACATAATTTCTCAACTTGTTCTGAAATATGGGTGAACGTAAGTGCCATATTTACAAATCACCAAATTTAAGACATTTTCTTCTGTTTCAATTCAAGACACTTGAAGACAAAGATTGACCCCATTAAGACATGGAGTCAAAAGACGTTTTTGGTGACTTATTAATTTTCTTCCAATTTGTTGAAGATCCGAATTCATTGAGCGGGTGGGAAGGGGGATGAAGGTGGGAGATGTCAAATGAATTTAAACATAGTATCATTGCAAGATCAGAAGGGCGTAAAAGCTTGAATATCATTCCAGGGAAAATCATTTTCAACAGTCCTCCATGGAAAAATATATAAAAAATATATATAACATAGGCCAATTTAATATATTCTTCGAATATATATAAGATTTATATGAAATATATAATTTTCAGAATATATATTTTTCCATATGGGGTATTTACCCCAAAAAGTGGAGCATAATTTTCCAACTTGTTCTGAAATACGGGCAAACGTAAGTGGCACAAACGTCTTAAAAAGGGGGGAGAGGTGTCTCAATTTCCGACATTAATTTTTGCATCATTAAAAATCATGCAATCACCCCCCAGGGGCGGAATTCTGTTTCTCAATTTACGATGCCGACGGCACGAATGTGATCGACGCTATTGATCTCGGAAATGTTCTCCGTGCCCTAAACCTCAACCCCACGAACGCGACAATTGAAAAAATGGGCGGTACGTCGAAGAAGAACGAGAAGAAAATAGCCTTCGATGAATTCCTCCCCATCTTCAGTCAGCTCAAGCACGACAAGGACCAGGGCACCTACGAGGACTTCCTCGAGTGTCTCAAGCTCTACGACAAATCGGAAAATGGTACCATGCTGTTTGGTGACCTACAAAACATGCTCCTGACCCTCGGTAGGTGTCCCTTTCGCAGAATTTTTTCTCGAGAACTCACGCAAGATTAAGCCGCTATTACAAAAAAAAAAATTGAGAACTAAAACGAGATCGAAGGGTTAATCAGATCACGAATTTGTTCAGGTGAGAAACTTGAGGACGCCGAGGTCGATGTTATCCTGAAAGAATGCTGCGACCCAGAGGATGACGATGGTTTCATTCCCTATTCACGTGAGTACATCATCAATATCATTCAAACTCCCTTTTTGAAAAAATCATCAGTGAAAACAGCAATTCAGTAACGTGAAGTGGTTTCCTGCGTTTATCTCGCAGAGGAGTTGTCCTACTGGAAAATGACATCTTTGATAGAGGAGAAAATTTCGGACAAAAAATGTTCTTTGAGATTTTTTATTAAAGCCTCTCGTTACGGAGATAACTGCCACTTCAACCAGAAGTGAAAAATCAACTGGCGATTTCCCCTGATAATTTAGTTTTTCGGAAAAGTCTCAAAATCTATTGGAAATATCGAAAAATGTATAAGGACCTTTCTTGTAGGTTGTTTCCTTCTCCATAAAAAATGTCTCTATAAAAATTTTGCTATTCCTCATAAATTCCGAGATATTCCCCAAAAACTGCACCCAATTTCCACCCTCCACCCCTGAATTGATTATTAAATCATCCAAGTGCACGATCGATGTTCTGTGTCCCCAAGTATTTAGCGATCATGTCGTCCCTAAATACTCGTAGCTAAATATATTTGTACCCAACCCCCCGAACACAATAATGGAGGTCAGTAATCATCAGGGCCCAGCCAACGAGAGACCATTGTTACGGGTTGTGTAATCCCCCTTTGACAGTCCCGACTTTCTTCATTTTCCAGCTTTCCTGAAGAAAATGATGGTGCTCCTGTAGATCCAGATAAATGTATAAATATGACCAGCCGGATGTAGAAATATGTCACCGTGAGTAAACCCCGTAGTTAAACTCATCTCTAACAATAACAAAAAAATCTCTTGAAAAAGAGAATTTTTATGTACGAAAGAATTTCATAGAAAAACCTATTAAATTTACCAGAAAATTCTATTGGATGGCCATTAAAATTTTCTTTGTTTCGTTTTTGGTGAATTCTATAGGAAAAAAAATATTGAATAGAATTCGATTTTTCTATACAATTTTCTATACAAGTTGTTTGATTTTTTTCGATGAATAAAGAAGAAAAATAAAGCGAAAAAAAAAGAAAAATTCATGTTGTGGATTTCTCGTAGAAAAAGTTGGATATTAAATATGAAATGCACCTGATTTTTGCTATAAAATAGTTTTTATTGGATATTTTTCACTCTATAATTGAATTTTAACTATAAATTCAATAGGAATTCAACAGAATTTTAGCTAGGTTTTTCTGTGTATTTTTTTCGCGCGAGTTTAGAGCTTCTGTTCGTCTTCCGTCTGTCTGCGCCTCCTTATCTGTCACCTCTCACTTCCTCCTCACCTTTTTCTGTGTTGGTTAACGATTTGTTTCTATCCTGTGGTTATCTCTGATATTTTTTGCGGCTTCATCCCTGCTCTGGTATTTACGCCCTTTATAGGAAGAAAATGGATACGGAGACGCTGAAATCGATGAGCCGGATAGCTTCTGGCACAGAGACAAAATAATTGTCCAACCAGACATTCTTGTTACTTCGCTTATGTTGATTTTTTTCTTTTTCTTTATAAATGTTAATTTTTTCATTCTGTTATGATTGAAGAACGTATAATCCTTTTATATTGCTAAAAAACAATTGATATTTCAAAGAAATACGTTTTCTCTAAGAAATTTTATTGCCTTTTTATTGGAACTCTATACACTTGAGGGACATTACCCAGATATTTATTTATAGAAAAAAGTCTATAGCTGTTGGTTTTTCTATATAACTTATTCTGTTGGAATTGTTTTATAAGAACTCTCGGGCATGAATTTTATTTTTGTTTCTTGCATTTTATAGCAGAAAAGTAGAGCGGAAAAAACTTAAAAAATTTATCTCAAGGATTCCTTTAGAAAATGTCTCAATAGAACGATAAAATTCTACAAATTTTTCTATGGAATAGTTGCTATTAAAAATTTTCTTCAAAAACTCGCAGTAAAGCGGCGTAATTTTCTAATAGAATCGGCAACAAACTAATAGAATTTCAAATAGACGTTCAATCGAAATCCAATAGAATTTTCCAATCCAATATATCAATCCAGTAACTCCAATGAAATGATCATAAAAAATTGTTCGTTCTCCAAAAACATAGTTTTTCGGCAGAACTAACTTTTTCTCACAGTGTAAGAATTCCATTGAAAAATTCTATTCTTTTTTGGGCCAATTCTATTTAAAATCACAAAACTTCGCCATGCATTTTAAACAGATATGTGATTACAGAAACAATTCTATAACTGTTGATTTTTTTATATAACTTATTCTGTTGGAATTGTTTTATAAGAATTCTCGGGCATGAATTTTCTCTTTTTTTTTCCTTGCATTTTATGCCAGAAAAGTAGAACGGAAAAAATATAAAAAAAATCATGTCAAGGATTCCTTTAGAAAATATCTCAATAGAAAGATGAAATTCTATAAATTGTTCTATAGAATAGTTTCTACTAAAAATTTTCTCCAAAAAGCTCACAGTGAAGCTGCGTAATTTTCTAATAGAATCGTCAAAAAACTAATAAAATTTCAATAGAAATCCAATAAAATTTTCCAATCCAATAGATCAATCCAAAACTCCACTGAACTGATCACAAAAAATTATACGCTCTCCAAAACCATAATTTCCGCAATTAAAACCAACATCTATATCTGCAGATGACGCAATGAAAAAAAAATCGACAAATGGAATTTGTTGAAGCCGATAACTCGAAAACGGGAAATACCTTTACACCTCTGACATTCACTTTCGAATTGCAGCTTTCCTACGTCGGCTGTGTGATCGAGCGGAAGAGGAATCGAATCAATAAACACCAGACGCCACCTCAAGTCCACCGATTCTTCGGTATAATTATTGAAAAAAATAATAACGCGCGTGAAGAGCCACGAACACTAATCCATCATAACGTCACACAATCGCGCACAAATTTCACCTTTCTATCCGTTTCACCGATAATTTTGTTTCGTTTACTTATCGACCCAAGGACGGTCGTAAAATCGACGAACGAAATGGAGTCATCAGCCACAAAAGAGTCTAATTAAGACGAGAGGAACTATTCGCCGAACACAGAATGGAAAAAAGAATGCGTCATTTCATTTGGTTTTGGACAATGTTACCTCATCACCTTGAGTCGCCCGATTAATTTACGTTCATTTTTGTTTATTTAGCATATTTTTCTTCTTTAGGGAGTGAAAATTCATGTACTTTAATTATTTATTTAAATGTTGAAATGGGAAAATAGTATATTTTATGATGTATGCAGGCAGCACTGTGTTGAACCGAATAAAATGACTGTTATTTTAATTATTATGAATTAATAAAATTGAATATTACATAAATAAATTGTACTTTCGATTGATGAGAAAGTGCCAAAAGCCAGATTATTGAATTATTGGATCCCTATTGATTGATCATCAAATAATGTGATTAATTATTAATTAATTATGAAGTCCTCAGAGTGACAAACAACTACTGGAATATGCGGAGAAGAGATTGGGTCATGAATTCTCAGGCAAAACGAAACAGAACAATCTGCAAGATAGCGTTCAATTAATGCGCGAGATTTCTAATTTTTTTATTTTATCAGTTTTTGGTTGATATTAAATTAAACATTAGCATACATTTTTTTAGGATTTCTCGAAAACTGAACGAGCTAGCGCTCTAAATCCAATTGCATTCAGTATCTGAGGCATTTTTTTTATTGGATCTTTATACATAATGATAAAGCTGGGCAAGTTTATATTTATCACGATACAAACTTTAACATAAAGATGACAAAATTTACATAAAAACATCAATCTAATCAAAGTAACATAAAAATAACCATGAAACTAAATCGATGGTTTTTCAATCAAATTAGATGGTGGTAATAGCATTATTACATATAAAATTATACGATCGGGTCACATTTACGTATCAAGACCTCTTCAAAACTCCTATCACTCTATATTATAATAGTACATTAGAGTACAAGGGCACAAATTTCGTTTTCAACGAATGTGTGTACAGACCTCGCCTTCGGCTCGGCCTGTAAACTACACTTTCGTTGAAAACGAAATTTATTACCGAGTGCTCTATAATATTTTAGGCGCAGCCTGCTGAAAACTCGACTTATTGCACGGCGCGACATAAAAATCCAAATCGACTTCTGGTGATAAAAATTTGGTACTCGAAATTAAGACTCCGAAATTGAGGGTCATGAGGGTCAGAATAAGAGTTCTGAGAGACAGATTAAGGGTGAGGAGGTTTAAAATGAGGGCCATAAGGGTGAGAATAAAGGTCACGAGGGTCCAAATAAGGGTCATAACGATCTGATTAAGGCCCCAAATAAAGGTAACAAGGGTAAGATTAAGGGTCTAAATAAGGGGCACAACGATCAGATTAAGGGTTACAAGAATTAGAGTAAACCTCTAAATGGGACTTAGGGGACATGGGTTCAGAAACTATAGGTCACCAGGGTCAAAATAAGGTTCGCGAGGGTTATAATGCGGATCACAAGGGTTAAATTAAGGGTCGCAACGGTCAGAATAAGGATCATGGGGGTCATATGGGGGTTAGCGAGCGAAGCGAGCAGGGGCCCAGCCCCCTAGTATCAGGCTATTTTATTAGATACTCATACATCCATAGTCTTAACTTACTCTCGACTAAACCCTGATTAAACCCAAGTTAAGAAGCGACTAAACTCCAGCTAAACCTCGACTAAACTCGGACTAAATTATTCGAGATTCGGCCTTACGAGGCTTGTGGGCTTTAAATATAGGACAAGTAAAAAAAAAAGATGAATAATTCGTCACAAATTCAATATTTATTTATTTATTTATTTATTGAGCTTTATAACTATGTCCTGGGGTAACAATCACCCCCTAAGGACAACCCTAATGTGTTACATGAATTAATTAGCCTACAAGGAATTACAGAGTACAGCTTAACTCTAGGAATTATTTGTGATTATCAAATTTGATTATGATACATTATAATAGGAAGAGAAAAATAAGAGAAATATGAGCCACTTCAATTATTGATGAGTTTTGCTCAGCAAGAGCTTAGAGATGTTGGGATCAAATATATTAATTCTATATATTATAAGAGGAAAAACGAAGAAAACTAGTAGTCTAACTAAAACTTTCAGAAAGAGAGAATCAACAATAGCTATATTCATTTACAAAAAATGCAATTATCCACTTGTTTTTTATCCTTAAAAAATGAATAGTGGCGCCTCGATTGCCGGCGATTTCGTGAAGCCTCGGCGAGACTCGCTCGGTGCGGGCGGGAGTGTGGGGCTGGTCGTCTCACTCGGATACGGTCGTCACCGCCCGGCAGAGGCCGATCAGTCGTTTCAAACGCGTCGAAACAACCGCGCGAGAAGCATCCCGTGTCTCTACGGCACATCTCCACCGGTTACTGCTTATTGTTTCACTAACGAGCGAGTGATAATCAGATACTAACGTCTCTGATTGGCAGAATCTTGTGACATTATCCTCAGTGTTCCTCCAAAATTCATGAATAAAATTATCATCCCGCTTTTCAAAGTCGAGGCATAATTCTCAATCGAACAAGTTTGTGATTTTTATCGATTGATTGATCACTTGTTGTTGAAATTTTTATTGAAAACAGTGCTGTGAGGATGATGGATGTACAGAAGCAGGGGGACGAGCAGAAGAGGCTACAGAATTCGTCGTCACCAGCCCCAGGTGAGGCTTTCCATTCAAAGATGAATCGATTTAACTGAATCAATCATAAAATCATCATTTTTCACTGAAAATAATTGGAGAAAAGGAGCGAAAAAATTCGGAAAAATTTCTTTTCCGGGGGATATCACGAGGTGAGAGGAGTATTCTCTCCTCCGATGGCCACACGTATCGATTAATTCCAGGGTAACTCAGGAATGGGAGGCTGTGTCCAACCCACAACAATCTCCACTCAAAACCCATTTTATTTTCCATTTTAATCCGCATTCGTAATTTTTTTCTCCCCCTCGAAGTTGGGATTTCTTTTCGGACGGATAAGGGGAGGGACTGGACAGATTGAATATTAAATACTGCATTATTTACCTGGCTTCCTCATTGAATGACGTACCATCTGCGCAAACGCAGATTGAGAAGATTGAGCCCTGCACATGACTAACCTCCTTCCATCCTTGTTTACACACAAAGAGCGCAAAAAATCTTGGCAGTTAAAATTCAATACTCATTCATTCGGTGATGTGTCTCTTTCATGACAACGTTCATTGACATTGTTTCATGCTAGATATCGTGAGTAATGGTAATTGTAATAGTGCGAGATATTCCTGGAATATTGAAAAATCTAACAGGTTGGTGGTAAAAATAAATATACAGAGTGGTTATGAATCGTTTATTAACATTTTGCGATGATTAATGCGAGCAAAATTCATTAAAATAAAAAATTAACAATTAAAAATGTAAAAATAAGACGAAGTAGTCAGGAACTTTATTATTTTTTAGATGATTACACAATGAGTATATTTTTATGAAATTTCTGTTTGTGAGATGAAATAAAATTTCAAGTAGGGAATTGAAAAATAGGAAATAGAGAAATAATAATAAAAAATAGTTCTTATTTTGAATTGTTTACAAACATTTTGAGACGATCAATGCAAACAAAATTCAAGGTCATATAAATTAAAATTCAAAATCTGAAAATAGAGAAAAATAATTTTTTTTTTTTAATAATTTTTCATTTTAAATAGGGGAGGGTGGGGCAAAACGGCCCTTCTTCAATTGTCAATAACTTGTGAATGACATTGTGAAAATTCCCAGTTTCAACTTCATTTTGAAGATAATTTTTCATTCTTCAAAACGAGCTCTAACTCATCCCAATCGGATTATTGAATCGGAAAATATTGACGATTGAAGGGGGGCCGTTTTGCCCCATCCTCCCCTAATTACGCAATTGTCAACTTTTATAAATTTTTGGTGCTGATCGGATGCTGCAAAACGGAAAAAATTGAGAATTAAAAAATAGAAAATACAGAGACGGAGGAATCCCAGACCCATGGTTAATAGTAGGGATAATAAATGATCGAATTCAAGTGTACTCCACGGTTAGAGTGGATTCTCAGGGACTAACGGGTCTCTCGTTATTCTCATCTACATTGGAACAGTGATCCAACACTTGTGGGTCAGATTCTGCCCCCCCCCCCNCCCCCTCCGAGTGCTCTCCCCATTATAATCAACTGATTTCGCACGATGCAGCGCGAGTTTATGATGATCAGGGGGATATCAAGTTTCGTTGGGTTGTGGAGGACGAGAGGTGAATGCAGCACGACTGAATTCATCGGTTTGATGATTACCAATTGCCACGGGCCCTCATGAGTTTGATGAATTTCATGTGAGTTGCATGACCTTCATGAGACCCCATAGAAAATTTCTTCATGACCCTTGTAATCCTTGTGACCCTCATGCACTGTTATAACTTCTGAAGGTTCGAATGTCTCAAAAAAATAGGTTTTTTTCGTATGAAAACAAGACATTTTCATGATATTCTGGCCCTTGTGAATCTCGGAAAAGACTCTTATCAGCCTTATCACTATTCCATATCAGCAGAAGTCAATATCGAATTTTTTAATATTCCAAACAAGTGGGAAATTGCTTTCATCTCAGAATAGTCTTGTTAATAATATGAGCAATTTACTTTCAAATGAAATTTCTATGACGATGTATTTTAAATTGAATTCAATAATTCGATTAATTCAACATTGCCTGAATGCTGATAGCCAACATTACCTCAACATTGATAGCCAATATTGCTCCAACGTTGGTAGCCAAAATTGTCCTAATGTCGGCAGCCAAAAATGTCTTAGTGTTGGCAGCCAACATTGCCCTATGTTGACAGCCAACATTATTCTATATTGACAGACAAAATTGTCCCAACGATGACTCAAGGGTGACATCCAACGTTACCCCAGCATTTGTAGCCAACATTGTCCTAGTGTTGACAACCAACATTGCCCTAATATTAGCAGCCACACATTGTCCCAATATGGACTCAATGCTGCCAGCCCACATTGCCCCAACATTAAAAAATTTCTAAACCTCAATATTTGTTTCAAAATGAACCAGAACTAGTTTTCAGCATTATTTCTTCAGTTATCATCGAAAACCGATCGGTCACATGCACACACATCCCCATATTCGAACCCTTGAGGCCAAAATTAGTTATCCTGACACAAAAAATTGGAAATTTCGGGATTTGACGAATACAATGCTCTCGGAAGTAAAAGTTCGAAAATGTATTTGAAACAGCCTCACCCACAATATTCAAGAATAACGAGCACACTTGCATTGGATGAGTAAAACTGCACGAGAGTTTGGTCGATAGCCCGAGGGGGTCTGGGACATCACCTGCTTTCTTCATTGGCA